AGGGAAAGACAAAAGCTCTTTTAAGACAAAATTGGTCGGGAAATAAGAGGAAAAATAGATTTAGATCTTTTGTTGCAGTAATTTCTCGTGTTTTTTGTTTTACTGAATTAGTAAAAAAAAAATCATTTCAATACGTCTTTGTCAAACGTGTTATTGACGGCGTCAAGGGTGAAAGATAGCTTAATTCATACACATTTATGTGTTGTGACATTGAAACCGATGTTGGATTCTGTTTACTTCTTCCTAAAGAAACGGAAATTTTCCATATTTAGCATAATTATGGTTATCTACAAAAGAGAAAAAAAAAACATTATCCCGGCGGTTGTCTCGTCATATGGCATGTTCAGGCCAATCCTCTATCAATAATACTACATTCATAATTGGAACTTAATTTAATGTTGAAGATAACTCATAATTGTAACAACTGCGGCGTGTGTATGTGTATATATATGTGTGTTAGTTGTTTTAGCATGGTGCATGCAATGATTAATCTATGGTAAAAAAAAAAAATAGAAAGAAATTTATCATATTACCATTTATGATTTTACTGGTAAATCCCAAACCAAAAGAAAAAAGGGCGGACAACAACACAACAGTAAACAAAGACAAGGAGAGACAGCAAGCTTTGGTACAACAATTATGCTATAGAACAATACAAACCCTATAACAGATACACCTGATCCATTCTGTAACTCCTTAAATTAACTTAGAAAGAATGCATTGAGACTTCCCAGCATTGAAGAAGGAAGAAGAAGACGAAGTATAGGAGCGAGAACAGAGGACGGTCGGTTTCCCATCAATGGAGGAGACAGCAATAAACTGAACCGTGACTGACTGGCCCGATTTTGGCGACATCAAACTCTGGTTTCTGCCTCAATCCCTTTTGTCTTCCTCTAGATCTCCATCTAGTGCTCCTTTGTCAGCTTGAAGATGTCTTGTCTCAGACAGGTTCTGATGAACTTCATGAGAAGGGACCGGACCCGGTTTTATGAGGGTTAGACTGTAATCATCCTTCTCGAACTCTCCATTCGCATCTCCCGAGTACGCATACCTAAAGAACGACGCCCAGAATAAGTATCATACCGTAAAAGCGCATACAATATGATAGACTAACACCGCATTTCTGCACATGCCCTATTGCTTGTTTCTACTTGTATTTCTCGGTTCCTCTGTCATATGGTTCAGGAGAGGGAACAGTCGGGATACGCATTACCTGGTCGATTTCTGAGACGGGGCCCAGAGAGCGGAGATAACACTGAGAAGCGAGAACGAGAGTAGCTGCCAAAAAGCCGGGATGATCCAAGCCTTTTGCCAATGCTCGTTGTAGACGTCCTTTGACTTGAAATAAAGCTGCAAAATCAAGGAACCAGAGATTTATTTTCGGCTTTGTTGAGAATAATAAAGCCAGGAGATCTCACTTTCTCGTATAAATTCCACATTTTCAAACTCAGCCGAGCCATTCTTGTTACATGTTAAGAGTTGAACAAGCTAAATTTTCATTTCGTCCGAGGACCAGAAGTCAGTTGTTATATTACCTCGTAGAAAATCCAACCCACGGAAACCAAAACGGCCACAGCCAAAGCATTTGTGAACTTTCTGTATATGTCCAACTTAACCACCATCCTTCTTGCCTGCCCATTTCATCTACTAAGCAAACACACATATACAAGACAAGCCTCTAGATGACAAAAAAGTTTTGAACTTTAGGTACCTGAAGCTTTTTGAACGTAGCAGAAAGTGATTTGAATATCCATATGATGAAGAAAGCATCCAATATCGCAACCGGGAGAACCAAAAACAGCCGAGCCTTTCCCGAGAGGTCGCTGACAGCACCGACATTTTCAATAATTTCGAGAGTTTCAGATGCTGTGAAGAAGGTAAACCCAAGCATGATAACTTTCGATGTAAGGCCACCGAGTGTTGGCCTCACAACACCATAGCCCATTGAGACAATCAGGATGATGATACGGGCAACTGTGCGTTTAATGGTACCGAACGTGACCGCCCAGATGGTGATCCCCGTGGGTCGGATCCCGGTCTCGTTGAATTCCGCATAATCAAAATACCAGAGAGCCATCTCAAACATTCCCAGTGTTATCACCAGAGTTATGCAATTCTGCAACGGAAACACTTCTCTCCAAAATCTGGCATACTGCGAGAACCAGAAGAGGCCAAGAACTACGAAAGCTAGAGACATGAACCCGTAAAAGTACATAAGTGGAGCCATTCTACCGGGCAGATACCCACCGGGGTTTTTCCAAATGGTTTTCCCCTCGACGACCAAATCCTTAAGATTCGGATCACAATGGATAAAATACAAGTTGTACATTCCAGTCCTAGTGATCTGTATCGAGCTCAATGGCAAGGTAGCAGTCAACTCATTATCGATGAACGAAACACCAAACACCTGAGGCCAGAGAGAGTCAAAAGCCGAAGGATGATAAATGATATCTCCACGTGAGCAAACACCGAGTTTTGCCAGATCAGAAGTACAACAGACAGCCCTTTGCCCGCCATAAGCTGATCCTCCTATGTTCTCTCGATCCTCCACCTCGAAAATCACGGCATGGATTGGCAATGAGGATCTGTTAGAGACTTTCTCGGGCCTCCGAAACGTTATCTTCTCAAAACTGGTAACACATTTGCCCATATAAGTAAGGTGTTTAAGGCAATACCAGAGTTGAAAGTTAGCAACTTTCACAGGCAAGTAGCTAAAGAAGGTGAAATGCTACTCTTAAGCATTTGATCCGTAAGTACACTAGAAAAATTCTATAATAAACTGATATTAGATCATAATGATAAAGAAATTACTAGTTCATCTACAAGATCCAACTCCTGATTAAAGTCCACGAACAAGTTCAAAGGGAAAATTCCACGAACACTTCACGAGCAATCTACCATCAGACATCAGATCCCGAGACCCCAATTGAACATTCACCAAAAATTTCCCAAAAATCGACGACCCAGAAGAGGAATCGGGATCAGAGAGTGAAAATTACCGGATAAAAGAAGAATCAGAACCGGAAGTGAAGTTGTCGGAGAGAGAAGAGTAGATGCCCTCGCTGCCGCCATGGAAGACAAAGGCGTTGCCTTTGGACATGAATCTCTCAGTTCGGTACTCATGCACCGAAGCTTCGGTCAGAGACACGAAGGAAGAAGAAGATGCGAAACATATCAGAAGAAGAAGAAGAAGGTGGGTCGACATTGGCGCCGATTTCCTTGGCAGAGATCTACCGCAACTTTCTACTTCAGCCGAAGAGAAGGAGAAGAAGAAGTGGAAGACGACAAAGAGAGTGCAACAGAGACCGAGTAAGTCAGAACAGAAAGGAGGAGACGAAGGTTTTCACTTTTCAAGTTCCACATGTCCGAAGGATCTCGATTGGCGTTGTTGGAGCCATGAACCCTCCGAGTCAACCCAAAGGTTTTTTGTTTAGTTGTATACTCCACTAATTACTTTCAAATGCAAAAGCCCATAATTTTAATAAAGGGATTTATGCGTTGCTTACATATAAAACTATATACTTAACATATGGTGCTAAATTCATTTCAATGTTTTAAAAAAATAGTACAAAAAAATGAATAATAATATTAAAGAAGAGTATTATTATCATTGATCTCAAGAGCTTATTTCTTACAAAGCGAAGTAAAAGAGAAAGAATTTAACGAAGAAGAAGAAGAAGAAGAAACTCTTAGCTCATCATCAGGTTATATGCACCTGAGGATTACACAAACCATATACAGGCAGGCACATACGTACACACACACGTATATATATGTATAGACATGTGTATGCACGTATATAAATACATCTCAGTCCCATGATGTGTCAAGAACATGTCCGGTTTCTGTGTGGACCCATTCCCCACAGATCCAAACATGCAAAAAAAAAAAAAAAAGAGCAAGAGCATGGTTCTGCAGATGCCCAAAATTGATCCTCCTTTCGAATTCCTTCCAAACACGAAAACCAGTAATTCCTTTCAGATTTCAAGAACAATGACTGCAACAAAGAAAGAGAAGGAAAGAATCAGAATATTTATGAGTGCCGTTTGGATTCTCTGATTCAAAAGGAGGGTCTGATCAAAACTCACAGTCAGAATCTGTCTTGACCCATTTATACCCGTCGTTGCTCTTCTCCTTCTTTTCTCCTCCGCCTTCTTCCTCCTCGGTCTTCTCCGGAACTTGTTGCTTGTCTCGCAAGCATCTCTTCACCGGAGTTGCCCTGGAGGCGGCTTGTGAGTTCATCTTCTTGTGTAGCATCATCCTCAGCAGCTGCACGAGTTCAGGAAAAACATATTAAATCCGTGAAATGTAAATCTAATCTGATTCGAAACAGAGTTTTACGTGTTTGTGAGTATGTTTCTCGGTGTATATATATATATACCTTCTCCATTCTTGATTCTTGAAGGGTATCTCTCAAGCTTGGAGAAGGAGAAGGCGACGAGAATCCGTCGCTGCAGACGAATATCTTCTTGAGGAGGTACGACACAGAGGCTTTGCCGATATCCGTCTTCTTCTTCCTCTTGTTCTCGGTCGATATCTCCTTGCATCTGCCGAGAATAACGCCTATCGTCCTCTCGATATCTTCCCCCTTATCGTCAGGATCGATGCCGCAGAGGGCGTTGCTGATTCTCCTGTCGACCTCCAAGCTGGAAGGGCAGTTCAAGAATCTATCCAGCGGGAGATTGCTCGCGATGATCTCCCTGTGAACGTCGGACTTTCTCTTCTTGGTTCTCGTCAAGAGCTTCGTCAACTCCTTCTGTAACTTCCCGACCTCTTCGGGAGTGAAGTCTTCTAGATCTTCCGAGGAAGATGGAGGATCTTGATCTTTGTCTGAACCCTCCTCTTGAATCTCTTGAATCTTCTGATCACCATCACGATTCCCTCCCTTGCTCACGCCATTGTTTATGCCGAACGTTCCAATGGCTAATAACCCGTGAGGCCAATCGCTGAACTCCTCTCGCGGCTCTTGCTTCACGTGTTCTGTCACAACGCAACAAAAGATGTCGTTTTCAAGACATGAAAACTATACCAAAAAAGACCATTAGTTAACGAAGTAAGCAACAAAGGATGTTTAGGCATTGTTCATGGCACGAGTGACAGCTTTGGTAACTACAAACTTGTTTCAGCTTATAAGCAGACAAGAGAATCTCGACTTATGCATTGGTTCTTGAAGTTTACGTACGTTCAAGTAATAGATCTCTGAATTTTAATAATAATGATGATGATAATGGTAGAAATAATATTCTTTTTGACACCCTGAAAACATGGTAACCGAGAACTTATGTCCAAGAAACATTAAAGAAAGGAGAGACAAAACTCACGAGAAGCCGAGGGCGTGTTTGGTCTGCCATTAACATGCTTCCCATTTAGCTTATTCTGCATCCACCCGAAGAACTGCCCAAGAACAAGACCCAGAAGGCAGAAACACAACAGAACTCATTGTCAGACATTTCCAGAGAGAGATGAACGGAAACTTGACGACGGATCATCACCACATATAACAGTGACAAGAACACTAATTACCTTCATGTTTCAAGAACAGAACTGGATTTCTTGCGCAGAGAGAAGTAGAAGAAAGATCAATATGAACTCTCGACGAGGAAGGAGGAGGAGGAGGATGAATATGATGAACTCGAGTAGCAGTTGGAGAATATCACAGCGGTTAAATACAAGAAAAAAAGGGCAAGATCTTAGAGGAGACAAGTTGAGTGAATAAAAAAAAGTGTTAAGGATTTGGGATATTGGTTTAGGTTGATGAATTTGATGGTTCAAGTTCCCAAATGACGGCCTCTCTTCGTCGTCGTCCTCGTCTGAATTCACTTCTTCAAAGCAAAAAAAAAAAAACTTTTTTTTTCTTTACAAGGGTTTTTGTAATCTTCTGTTCAGATGTTTCCTCGCAGACTCATACACCTCTTCTTTTATACAACTCATACAACGCACATCCCAATGTATACACATACATATGTGTGTGTGTGTATATATACACGTCCAAGAACATTCTTCCTCATCTCTCTTTTTCCATGAAATATTATAAAAATGGCGCATCGGAGAGAACGTTACGGCTTTGATCGTGGTTCATACACCGTGAGTTGCCTCCTTTTGATCACAACTTCGAAATTCTAATTTCCCAAAAAAAGAAAAATCATAGAAAGCAATTAAAAAAAAAAAGATTGTATCAGATATGAATCCCTAGATAAACCATTCAATGGTTATTACGTTGACACGAAGTGGGTTTTTTTTTTTTTTTTTTTTTTTTGCAGATTTTGTTGCCATGCACATGAACACGTTTTGATAACATACATGATATATATATATATATATTACGCATGGTGTTCGTGGATTTTTCCAAGATGAACACGTACGTAGGGTAGTGTATTTGGACCGGTTTAGTTCGGTTTGATTTAATTTTTCAGAGAATGGTGTAGAAAGACTAATGCAATGAAAGAATGAAATCTCTCACACGTTGTGTACGTAAACACTATTCAATGGCCATATAACTATACCAATCAAGCATCGGATAATCGACATTTCACAGATAGATAGATAGATGGATAGTGATCACAAGATTCTCTATATCCTTTAACTTTTGTCAAGACGTTTTTCGACCACTAATACAATTATTTTATCCACCCCTCAAATATATATATATATATGCATATATATATATATAATGATTTGAGGGATTAGGCTTAAGATTGGGAAAAATCTAAGAGAAAGGAGTCATGGAAGAGAGAAAACCCCACTTTCATTTCTCGTGGGAATGTCCCCTTAACCTCTCTGGAATCTTCATCTCTCCATCTCACCTGCTCCATCCTTCTTTCTATCTCTTCAGACGTCTATTTCACATTATTAAATATAACCCTTTCTTTTATCATTGTTATAAATTATGATTTTGTACGTACAGTCTTATGCATTCATCGACCGACGACAAGCTTTTATGGTAGCGTTATTTCGTTCCCAAAGAAAAAAAGCTCATATCATTGCGTATATAATATATATATATATAATATGGGTTTCTGTTGAATGTGATAAGAGAGGTTTATCCGAGACATGTTTTTATATGAGATTTTGTGTTACAATATTGATGTTGTTTTGTATCTTATATTCGATAATGATATGTTTGTTCTTATGCACGAAAAGGATATGAGAATATTTTTGGTGTGACCTATCGAACTAATTAAGTTTGCTTTAGATTTATCGAGAATTAATTACTTGTCATAATTAATTAAGATTTGTATAAAGAATATATATAAATAAGACATTATTATCAGAAAATCTTAAGAACGACTCTCGCTGCAAAACGTTTCACTCGATGTTATATACCAAAAAATGTATACATAATAAACAAAAATATTATAATTATAATTTTATTTTCTAAAATTAGATTTCAATTATTAAAACAAAATTTCAACTCTGTAAAACCCATGGTTTGCAGAGGAAAATAGAGAGATATTTGGGAAAGATTTTCTGATATTTCTTATTTACAAATGACACTGTACACTCTAATATATACACAGTGTGAAGCTACTAAATTCAAAATACAAAAAAGAAGTGAGCGGGAAGTGCAAAATTTCAGCAACAGAAACGGAAAACAGGTTCGTCCCGAGTCTAGTATAACCAACCAAACCTGAGGAAAACACTGCGCCATTGCTGTGCAATATACATTAATACTCCCCCTCAAGATGGGGAGAACAAATGTTGAATACCCATCTTGACCATTAATCTTCGAGAAAGCTCAACAGAAATCGGTTTTGTCATAATGTCGGCTACTTGATCCGAAGCTGAAAGATGTAAAGGCTTGAGAAAACCTGATTTCAGATGCTGCCGGACAAAGTGACAATCCAATTCTATGTGTTTCGTACGCTCATGAAACACCGGATTGTGTGCAATATGAACAGCACTCTGATTATCACAGAATAGAGTAACAGGACGAGGGCAATCAATGGACAATTCCGAAAGTAAAGCAGCCAACCAAACCAACTCACAACAAGTCTGCGCCATTGCTCTATATTCAGCCTCTGCACTACTCCGAGAGATGGTGTTCTGCTTCTTTGATTTCCAAGAAATCAGAGAATCTCCAAGGAAAACACAAAAGCCAGTAACCGATCTTCGAGAATCAGGGCAACTTGCCCAATCAGAATCAGCATAAGCACTGAGGCGAATATCAGAAACAGCTGAATAATAAAGTCCTTGAGCAGGAGCAGATTTTAAGTACCTCAACACGCGAAACGCTGCTTGTAAATGAAGTGTCCGAGGAGCAGACATATACTGACTCAGTTTGGTAACTGAGAAACATATATCTGGACGTGTGAGAGACAAATAAATCAGCTTTCCAAGGAGCTGTCGATAGGGCAGAGGATCAGGTAAGAGATCACCAGAATCTTGACCAAGCTTCTCCTTAATATCCATGGGTGTTGCAACAGCCTTGCAACCTAACATTCCAAACGTTTCCAGCAACTCCAAGGTATATTTGCGTTGACAAATATAGATACCCCTACGAGATCTAGCCACCTCAAGGCCAAGAAAATAACGAAGTGGTCCAAGATCCTTGATCTGAAAAGCACCACTCAAAGTAGCTTTAAGCTCAGAAATTAGAACAGAATTGTTACCAGTGATGAGCAAATCATCAACATACAAAAGTACCACCACAATATCAGAAACCTGTCTCTTAAAAAACATAGAAGAATCCGATTGAGCTTGAGAATAACCAGCAGTGACAAGAACCTCAGAGATCTTCGAATTCCATTGGCGTGAAGCCTGTTTTAGACCATACAGAGATCGCTCAAGACGACAAACTGAGTTAGGAGGAAGAGACTCCCCCTGAAGCTCAGCATATCCAGGAGGCAAACGCATATAAATTTCTTCATCAAGGTCACCATTCAAAAAAGCATTGCTGACATCCATATGACAAAGAGACCAACCAAACTTCGCAGTCAAAGCCAACAATGTCCGAACTGTGGTAAGTTTAGCAACAGGACTAAAGGTCTCTAGATAATCAATGCCCTCCAATTGAGTATAACCTTTAGCAACCAAACGAGCTTTATGACGCTCAATAGACCCATCAGCATTGTACTTAGTCTTAAAAACCCACTTACAGCCTATAGGATGTTTCCCAACAGGTAGAGAACAAATAGACCAAGTCTTAGTTCTAGCAAGTGCACCCAACTCAAGTTTCATAGCCTCCTTCCAAGTTTCAAATTTTACTGCCTGGGTATAGGTCTGAGGTTCTGGTTCGGTAGTAATAGAAAGGGCAAAGGATTTATATGGTGGAGAAAGGTTGTCATAAGAAATAACAGAGGAAATAGGATGAGTAATTACAGAAGAAATAGAGTCCAGAGGTTTATCATGTAACAAATAACAGTGATAATCAGAAAGATAAGCAGGGCGTTTATGCGGTCTATGTGATCTGACATTATTATCCAAAAACAACTGACCATGACCAACTGATTCCATAGAAGAAGAAGGAACAGAAGAAAGAGGTTGTTCCGACTGCACAGGAGGAACCGAAACAGGCTGAATAGATTCAGAATTATGAGAATCAAAAAAATAAGGAGATACAGATTCGGAGAAGAGTTCTAATGCATGAGTCTGTGAAGAGGATGTTTTGAAAGGAAAAGAAGACTCATGGAATACCACATTCCGAGAAACAGAAACTGCATTAGATTCCAAATCTAATACCTTATAACCCTTGACACCATGAGGATACCCTAAGAACACAGCAGGACGAGACCTAGGACTGAATTTATGTCTATCTGTGAGATGAGTTGATACATAACAGAGACATCCAAAAACCCTTAAATGAGAATATTGAGGTTTATGATTGGTAAGCATTTCAAAAGGAGTCTTATGATCCAAAACAGGGGTAGGTAATCGATTGATGAGATAAACAGAAGTTAACACACACTCCCCCCAAAAGGATAAAGGAATATTGGATTGGAATAAGAGAGCTCTAGCCACATTTAAAATGTGCTGATGCTTTCTCTCCACAATAGAATTTTGCTGTGGGGTATATGGACAAGAGAATTGATGATCAATACCCTTATTAAGCAATAAATCAGAGAAAGCAAGTTCTGGAGCATTATCTGATCTAACACACTTAACAAGAGCATTATATTGAGTTTGAATAAAAGACAAGAACTGGGGAAATTTGATCAGAACTTCATTCTTTGATTTTAACAAGTAAACCCAAGTACAACGAGTAAAGTCATCTACAATTGTAAGGAAATATCGATGACCTTGTACAGTTTCAGTATGAAAAGGACCCCATGTATCTATATGTATCAACTCAAAAGGAAGAACAGATTTATGACTCGAGACAGGGAATGGTAGACTTTTCTGTTTTGCCAAAGGGCATACAGGACACGAGAGAGTAGACTCAGAAGGCACTAAATCAATTTGAGAAGAATGTCCAAGTGTAGAAACTTTGATATCTGAAGGATGACCAAGCCGATGATGCCACACATCAAAAGTAGTTGCAGAAAAGGCAGTGCAGAGAGGGATCGAAAGAGCAAAAGAAGAAGAACTCTGCATCTGAAAAATATAGAGGTTGTGACATTGGCTACCCTTGCCAATCATCAAGTCCTGAGTAAGGTCCTGAATGATATAAGAATCAGCAAAAAACACCACAGAACAAGGAAGCTGCTTAGTGAGACAGCTGACACTAAGTAGATTATAATGAAAAGAAGGTATAAACAGAACACAAGACAAAGAAATCTTAGGAGATAGTAAGACAGTACCAGCCTTGGTCATAGAAATAGATGTGTGATTAGGCAAAGACACAGAAACAGGTGCAATATCATGAAGTTCAGAAAATAAAGTCAGATCACAACAGACATGAGAACTAGCCCCTGTATCTAGAATCCAAAATGGTGAAGATGAAGTAAGGCTAGGTGTAAAAGAAGAAAATAGGGAATGAGAAGGTAAAATGATACCTGGTGAGGGCGGTTGAACAGCAACAAAATAAATCAGCTTTCCAAGGAGCTGTCGATAGGGCAGAGGATCAGGTAAGAGATCACCAGAATCTTGACCAAGCTTCTCCTTAATATCCATGGGTGTTGCAACAGCCTTGCAACCTAACATTCCAAACGTTTCCAGCAACTCCAAGGTATATTTGCGTTGACAAATATAGATACCCCTACGAGATCTAGCCACCTCAAGGCCAAGAAAATAACGAAGTGGTCCAAGATCCTTGATCTGAAAAGCACCACTCAAAGTAGCTTTAAGCTCAGAAATTAGAACAGAATTGTTACCAGTGATGAGCAAATCATCAACATACAAAAGTACCACCACAATATCAGAAACCTGTCTCTTAAAAAACATAGAAGAATCCGATTGAGCTTGAGAATAACCAGCAGTGACAAGAACCTCAGAGATCTTCGAATTCCATTGGCGTGAAGCCTGTTTTAGACCATACAGAGATCGCTCAAGACGACAAACTGAGTTAGGAGGAAGAGACTCCCCCTGAAGCTCAGCATATCCAGGAGGCAAACGCATATAAATTTCTTCATCAAGGTCACCATTCAAAAAAGCATTGCTGACATCCATATGACAAAGAGACCAACCAAACTTCGCAGTCAAAGCCAACAATGTCCGAACTGTGGTAAGTTTAGCAACAGGACTAAAGGTCTCTAGATAATCAATGCCCTCCAATTGAGTATAACCTTTAGCAACCAAACGAGCTTTATGACGCTCAATAGACCCATCAGCATTGTACTTAGTCTTAAAAACCCACTTACAGCCTATAGGATGTTTCCCAACAGGTAGAGAACAAATAGACCAAGCTTCAGCTCTGATACCATTTCAACTCTGTAAAACCCATGGTTTGCAGAGGAAAATAGAGAGATATTTGGGAAAGATTTTCTGATATTTCTTATTTACAAATGACACTGTACACTCTAATATATACACAGTGTGAAGCTACTAAATTCAAAATACAAAAAAGAAGTGAGCGGGAAGTGCAAAATTTCAGCAACAGAAACGGAAAACAGGTTCGTCCCGAGTCTAGTATAACCAACCAAACCTGAGGAAAACACTGCGCCATTGCTGTGCAATATACATTAATACAAAATTCAACTCAATGACATATACTCTTGGTTGCATCTCCTAACTATTAGTATGTCATTATGCTCTAACTTTGATTTATTTTTAAATGGTCTGTCTCCATCATAACGAAGGATAGAGCAAAATGAAATAGATGACACAATAATGTACAATATATTTTTTTACAACAACGTTATTTATTTAAATAAGTATCAATGATATGAATAGCCTATATATATACCTATATATATATATCTCATTACACTCGACTTCAATGATGTAGATGGCCAACGTATACGCACGTGCACATGCTTGTATATGCACCTACCTATATATCTATATATATCACAATATAAACACTATCCTGATTGAAAAACATGCACTTATTAATTACTGTAAGTTAACTGCGAGTCTACGGCAAACTTATGTCCATAGATATGGTAGACTATATATAAATATATATATATATATATATTCCTATAATCTACGCATGGTTAATTATAATAAACATAATTAAACAACAAAAAATATCGTGTTTAAGATTTGGAAAGAGAGCAAAACCATTAATCGACAAATCTCTTTTGAATAGTATTTCGATATCTTTTGAACAATTAGAACAAAAAAAAATAGTATCTCGATATCTTTTGAATTGTATAATCGATTGAACATATACGTTCGTTATTAGGACAGAACTTAAATCAAATATTCTAACCGAAATAAAATAAAAATTAAAACAAATGTTTCACGTAAATCTCTTAATCGATTGTATTATATTAATAGTATATGCAAATACTATCTTAAAAGAACTAATAACTATTCAAAACGATATTATCCTTAATAATAAATCGTTATATTATTTTTTCCCCTAATATCATATTATCCTTAAATTTGATATTATCCTTAAAACGATATTATCCTTAAATTTGATAAATTTCAATATCTAAATATAAATAATATAAAAATACAGCAAAAAAGTGTAAAACCAGAAGGAAACACGCGAATAAAAAACGGATTTTCTTTATAACACGACGGACCCCACATCTAGGGCTAATCACGTGTAGTGTAATCCAATGGGCCCTCGCCACGTCAGATATTAATATTTACGTCAACAAAAAACGAAAAATCTGGGAAATTGGAAACTATCTCAAGATAACAATTTTTTAATAAGTAAACTAATATATAATAACGCGTATTATAGAATTTACTAAATATTTTATTATTTAGATTTTATATTCAAACCAACGTCTTTTAATCCATTGAAAAACTTAAATTGACAGTTATCACAAATAAAAACAATATTTGATTTTGGCTGATAGATTTTCATATGGGAAAGTAGAGACCATTTGTCTGCAAAAAAAAAAAAGAATAGCTTTGCCAAATACTTTTATAATGTTAATTTATTAATATAAAATTAATGTGATATTTTGAATTTTAATTATCATATAGTTCGATTATTTTTAGATTTGATCTTTTCAGAAGTTATATAAATTTTGTTTCGATTTAGATTATATTGATATTTGATTTCATTCGATTTTTATTAAAAAATATTTAATAAAAACTGGTTTTATTTGATTTTTAAATTATTTTCAATTAATTTGATTTCAAAAGAATTACATACAGTTACTTATTAAATCGGTATTATATCAAAAATATCCTTAATTTGCTATTTTTACTTCAAGACCTACCCTCGTGACCATGTGACCAACATGATCGGAATATAGTGTGGTCACATTTTGATTTTATCGATTATAACGTTAAATTTATGGTGATTATACTAATTCATTACGTTCATACCTTATATATCTTACTAATCATTTGATTAAAACATCATAAATTTAACGTTATGAACAATGAGATCAATATATGACCACACTATATTTCGGTCACATTGGTCATATGATCACAAGGGTAGGTCTTGAAGTAGAATTAACAAAGTAAAGGTATTTTTGATAATGGCTCTATTAAATCGAATTTTATACATACATACATACATATATACATACATACATACATACATACATTATTAATATAATTAGATAGTTCACATTCTTTTTTTTTTTTTGATAACGAAGTTCACATTCTTTATTATAGATAATTGTTTTTTAAAAAAGAAAAAGGAAATAAGAGAGTGGAGATCGAGAAAATCGGATAGCTTATCATGTTACCGGATGAACTAACATCATTGGTCTCCATGAAACTTTATTTTTACTTAAAAACTATTTTCCCTTTCCCCCTAATCTCTTTGCATTATCTCCCAACCTTCTCCTTAATCTCATTGGATCGTTAGCGCATCACACGACTTATCAAATTTAAAATATGATATATATATATATATATATATATATGTATATGTGTGTATATATTAGGAAAGGTGTTAATTAAGTTATTCAAATGGGTGGTTTTAATTTGAACATCCAGACAGACAAGGGACCACATAATTAAACTGTGATTATTGTCGACTAATAAGTGGTTTATATCGTTAATACGTTGCGATTAGACCAGTTTACACGTGTAAGGAATCTGGAGAGTGTATATATATATATATATATTCAAGATATTTATGATTCACTCGTTTAATCGAAGACTAATCGTCATGGAACTCGTCAGCAGCGCCATGCAAACTAAATAGAATTTGTGGCCCATGATTCATGTGTGATAAAAGTAATACGATTCCGTACAATCTTTATAATATATTATAATTTAGAGAGAGAGAGAAAAAGCCCTTTTGTGAATTCGACCGTCATGTAAGTCGTCAGCGTCCGATATTCATTAGGAACAAATAATTTCATGTCGTACGAAGATTTATATTTTGCTAAATCATATATGTTTATTGTATCGATTACTGCATGAGTTATAATTAACCATCCATCTCTCGAGTAGTAGAAACATATATATATATATATATATATATATATATGTATATTAAGATCAATATATATTGAAGGGAAGGGGATGGGTTTACTCTAATCATAATCACTAAACAAATTTGTTTGAAACATTTGCAAAGATAAATTATAGGACCCCATTCAAATAAAATGTGTACATATCATATCATATAGTTCAGCAAAATGTATTTAATTCGCATTGATGATATTATATTGTAAGCGACTGTACTCTACATGCAATCTTCCATTAAACACGGTCCTATATATATAACTTGATTAACAGAACGCTTTATTCGCGTGTGAAACGACTACATGCTGTCACCAACAATATTCAATTATACAAAAGACTATATTCAAAAATACAATGAGAGAGAGAGAGAGAGAGAGGCAAGTAGAAGAGGAGTCTCGAGATCCCAGAGATCTAGGAGGAAGATCGGAGGCCGAAGAGAACGTTGAAGAAAAAGAGCGAAATGCACGTGATTGGTGAAGCTTACAAGGCCTCCTTGTGTTTTGTAACCTTTCCATAAATACCAACCCTTTCTATTTCTGGAATGTTCTCTCTCCTCTCTCTCTCTCTCTCTCTCCAAGGTCCCAAAACTGGTGACCAGAAAGATTTTCTCCCTCCCTTTTTTCCTAAAATCCCAATCTTTCTTGTTATATAGAAGGATATATATATATATATATATTGATTTGGAATGCAAATTAATTGGAATGATGTATAATCATGAGAAGAAAGAGACGGGTAAACATGATCAATGCCATATCATATGAGAGAGATACATGCAGAAGTAGATTCTTCAAGCGAGTTCGTGAATGGATGATCCATCAATAGCTTTGCTACCTTTGTGCTATTCCATCAATCACCGGTGACGGCCATGACCACCAATCCATTTATAATTATACCTATATTGAATTAATTCTGTGATTTTTTAATTAAGACATTGGTCGGAGGAGGTTTTGGAGTTTTTAAAATCCAAAACCCAAAAATCATACCTACTTATATATACATATATACAAATAATAAAATCTCAAGTATCTATTTCGAACCCTTTCCCCGTGCACAACTCACCGTCCACACATCCTGTATATATTTTAATCTGAACTGCCTTATTATAAACTCCCTAACTCCATATACATATACATATATATATTACAACAATGTATGTATATATATAAACATACATACAGATACGTTATTTTCCCCTCACTTTTAAACATTGCATTTAAATTCCATATATATATATATATATACAAATTCAGACATCAAGACAGCCGCAGACTTCAAAACAGCAATTGAGGCACTCGAAGCAAGCCAGAGCAGCGCAGATCTGAGAGAAGACAATCGTACACTGATCGTTCACTCCCGAAACGCAACGCAGACAGCACATGCAGCAAACGCGATCTCCCAGTCTCGACACCGCCCTCACCAGCTTCTCCGCTCCTTCCGCTTCCCTTCGTTCTTCCCTCCCCGACGGTACGTTTTTCGCGGTCGCGTCTGCGTTTCCGAAGCCCCGCGACTGCGTTCCCATCACCATGCTCTTCTCGCTCTTCTTCTGCATGTGTTTCTGGATTTCGTACGGAGGGTTCCTCAGAATCTGCAGAGAGAAATGAATACAAACGCACGTTGGTGTTTTCGGATTATATAATATGTAAAGATTTCGGTACACTGAGGGTTGGATTTTTGTATGGTACCGTAATAGACCCTTTTGGACTTACAAATTCTCAACTGGATACGAGTTTTGAGAGCTAAATCATTGTAGCAACTTAGGACCGGAAAAAGAGACAAAGGCAACGTTGGTTATATACCCCGTCGCAAAACGCAGTATATCACATCGAGTCCTTTCTTTCTCAAACTTAGAAAATTTTCGATTAAAAACATCGCCAAATTTCTTCCATAATCGGCCAAAATGGATATGAGATCGTTTAATATCTCGTAAGAACCGAGATGTTTGGACCGGAAATTTCAGGTACCGGCCATGTCCACCGGAGCAGCAAGCAACTACTAAAGTGTGGTTGGTTAACGTCGTACCTCTTTTATGGAAAGTGGCTTGGAGATGATCTTCTCATCCTCCTGCTTGAATAGAACCATCGGCGTGTATTCGCATGGGAATCCTGTCTCTATACTTAGTTTTTTTACCTGCGACCATTCAAGACAAAAAAAAAAAGAAAGTATTTATTCTTCAGGAAGAAAAGACAACAACGAGAAAATGCCAAAAGAAAAGAAAGAAGTTGGATAGGACCTTCTCTTGAATCTCTTTCCTGTCTTCAAACCACGCACGAGCTGTGAGTTCATCGATTTGTCTCCTCGCAAGCACCTGTTCGATTTTAAAAAAGAACAAGTTCTGAGACAGACATCCATCAGTTAATAATATACAAGCCCTTGTGAAATCTTACCTTATCAAGTGGCATGATCATGTCTTTGGCCTTCTGCACTGTCAACTCCATGACAAAACAGTTCGTATCCGCCAATGTTCCTCGTACCTCCACAGAATCTGGGAACTGCCCTTTGTATCTTCCCCATACTATCAATGGATCTCCCATTGTGAGGTCTGGAATGTGAGAGGGGAACATCTGCAAGAACCCGTGTAATGAAATTTCAGGACAAGAACCGTCTCAGCAAAACCAGAGGGACTCTGATAACGTGATCGATACCTCGACTGAACCGAGAAGTTTCAGAGCATCCAAAGTGGTATTGGCTACGATAGTCGAAGAAGATGTTTCGAACAGTCTCTTCATCCGATGTTCGATAGAATCTAGCCAAGTGATCGGAGTAGGAAACGGTAAGAATGTGAGTTTCAGTTTAGAGTAATGATAATTGCGACGAAGGAAACAACGGCCATTACCCGTATCCAAAGCCGCATCGTAGTAACCCTTCCCTATCCGTGCCAGCATTTGCAAGAAATAATGGTTGCAAAACGAACCTGCATAATTTTTATTTTGTAGAAAATAAATCTGAAAGCAAGATCCAAAAACTAAGATGCTTCTATGAAATTATGATGGTAAAGAAAAGAATCCTTGTTCCTTACCTATGCCAAAGGTGCAAATTCGAGGAGGAATCATGCCTCCGCTCCTGCAACAGTACCCTTTCATGGCATTGCATATTTCTCTCTCATTCTCGACAGATCCATCAGTCACAAGGAAGACAAGAGAGATCGCGTTAACGTCTGTCCTTCCTTCAAGCAACTTCATTGCCTAAAACCAGACATATCAATGAACAGTTTCAGAGATCTGGAAACAACAAAAAATGTATGTCACAGAAGAAGCAAGTGAACTAGTTAGTTACCTGTTTCAAGGGAAGCATGATGTCTGTTCCGCTGCTCGCTATTAGATTACTATCGAGCCACTGATTCGCTGTGGAGACTGATACAGCAGTCGCTAGCTCCATTGATGGAGAGAAAAGCCGAATGTCTTCATTGAAAGCGATGATGTTGAATGCATCTTCAGGGTTGAGCTTAGATAAGGAAGCGGACATCGCTTTCTTCACATTCTCGAGGGGCATTCCTTGCATGCTTCCGCTTACGTCAATCAAAAACACGACTTTTCGCTTGAAAACCTACAAGCAGAGCTCAAGAGATAAGCCCTGTCCGGAACTAAAATGCCAGGGACATAACATGAGTTTCTGATTTCAGATGATTCAGACCTGCCTATGTGGGGATGTTCTGGGCAAAATATATAAGCAAAACATCCCTCTGTCATCGGAATCCCATGGGGAAGGAGACATGTTCTGGGCAAAATATATAAGCAAAACATCCCTCTGCCATCGGAATCCCATGGGGAAGGAGACTTCACTAACACATTACCACTCAATTCACCAGAAGAAACCTGTAAAAAATCGTATTTCAGAACAAGAAGATGGCGAAAACAATACTGAAACTATGATCAAGAGTCTCTCACATTGACCAAAACGTCGAAATCGTTCCTCGACCAAGCTGCTACTTCTGCTTCATACAGACAGTTCAATCTACCAACTTCACGGTGCACCACCTGAGACCACAAAGCGTTGAAAATAACTCATCTCCATGGAACAGAGGGCTAAAATGTGAATATATACATATACATACATATATATATATATATACACCTTCAAAGGATGGCTGGTGCAACTGAATGCGATTTCACCCGCGAGACCCGAGTTCATATTCAAGACAACCTTTTCCATCTTTGTTATGTCCTTACCAAATGGCGTCACATACGCCGGAAATCTGAAAGGAACAGTGAGGTGAAACTGGCCGTCGCCGAGATAGAGTAGTTTCTGAGACCAAGTGACTTGAACCGAAAAGATCGATCCTCCGTCAATCTATCAAGGATGTCAAGCAGAGATTTTGAAAACCCGATGAAGATCAGTTTGAGCCTGAACTTGGCAAATATATGATCACGGATAAGAACACATTGACATGAAAGAGAAAGCAAACAAGATTTATTGGGTTACCTGTGGGATCTTGAAAGTGTAAATGTGAGGTTTGACGAAGCGCGAATCTTTGTCTCTGTGGCTGTTTTCGACCTCTGCCAGTTCTTCCTCTGTGACCAGTTTGGTCTTGTAAGATCTTCCCTCGCTAAGGATATCAATGTCGGCACCAAGAAGTGAACCCTGTTAGCAACATCAATGTCTACAATTATCCCAGAATTCTCACTGTTAAACTTGGCAAGATTATGGAGATACAAACAAGCCATAATCTGAAGGGAAAAAACAAAACTAGAATGTATATGCATATTTATTCATTTAATTAGTCTGTAAAGGATATATATATATATATATATATATATTAGCCGACAATTTCAGTTATATGTATATATATGTGTGTGTGTGCGTGAGTGCATTGCATTACATACATATATATATATAATATATTAAAAAAATGGATTCTTTTTTTTTATAATTGACTGTTTACCTTCTCCCCCATAGGAACGGCGATGCAGCAATCGGCGCGTCTACAAGCCATGAGGCAGTGCACGCGCCACCGGCCGATAAACGTCACAACGGCCGTGTCTAACCAACAATCGACCCTCACCTCCGCCGCGAGCATCTGCAGCGGCACCAGCGCCGGTGGATCGCACCGAGCGTGGACGTACGGCTGATAGCTCGGAACGTCGGGGTTGTCCACCGCCACCGGATCGTAGATCGCTGAGTACGCAGTCACTGCCGTCGGAAGAAAATTCTCCGGCGGCGATCTTGCCGGCGGTGGCTCCGGGATCACCGGAGGAGGAAGAGCCACACCCTTGCCGTAGTATATCCTCCTCGAGAGCTGGAGCCCCTGCTCCACTCGACCTGCGAAATCACAGGACATTTCTTGATTTTCCGGTGGAAAATCTCCGGCGACGATGAGAGACAGAGAGACTTGGAGGTTTTCTGGTTCGTGTAGAAATTGGCGACGAAATAATTTGGACGGTGAAAAGCGACGGAAGCAGAAACTTAATTAGTAAGGATCAAACCAATGATGAGACGACACGTGGAAAGCAACTGTCCGACTACTGGATTATTTAATTAAATGTTGTATATAACATATGTTATTGTTTTGGTTACCGAAATTATATGGAAATTAAAAAAATTTAAACTTATATATTTTTATGGTTTATTTCGACTTTATATATACATATAGATAAATAACCAAATTGAATCATAGATTTAAACAAAAAAAAAATCCTAACAATAGAACCCTCCATGTCTAGTTCGGTCCACGTACTACCTAGTGAACATAAATTGTTAAAGAAATCATTAATACAAGACATGTAGGCCAATGTGTATTTATTACTAAAAAAAATAGAATATGTTTATGTATATCTAGATTTTGATTTATCTATTTTAGAGTTCTTATGCAATTTTTTATATTTCATATTATTTTTTACTCTATTATCTAGACTATTTTATGCTTTTTATCTTAACTATGTCTTTTGATTTATTAATAATCTTGAGTTTTTTCTTTTGAATTTTAATTAATTTAGATTATAGTATATTCGGGCGGGTGATTAAAAATAAAAGCTGATTTAACGGATTGTTGTCTGCCACGCGTCAGCAAGTAAATGATAAATAATATTAAATGGGCCAACAATTTACACCGATTTTATTTGGTCCACTTAGATATGGGCCCACAATTGTCCTCTGTGGCCCACATTGCCACCAAATTTATTAACCCTCCTCTGTCACGCTGGACCATCGAAGTGTTGACATTTTCAATTTAATTATTTTACTCTATTTGACGACGACGACGACGATAATAACAATAATAATAATAATAATAATTTGTAAATGATGCATATCATAAGTTCATTTGTGTCATATAAAATTATGCGTGAAATAATTATATATATGTATATTACCTGACATTACCTTACGGAATATATAATAAAGTTGTAAAAATAAAGTAGTCAGTTCTTAATTTTTGTCAATGAAAGAATCTAGGTAAGTTACTGTCATTTTAAAAAAACGACAAGAGAATGGGTTGCCCTCATGTCGCTTTTTCGCAATATAAAAAGTTTGTATGTATTTTCAGAAAATCGTAAGCCTAATAAAATATGTCATTTTTTTTAAGGCAAAATCCAAAAAAAAAACACTAAAACTTTTAAATTTTGACAAAAAACACTGAATTTTATTTTTTATCAAATAAATATTAAACTTTTTAAACGAATCTAAAAAAACACTGAATTTTTTAAGTGATCCAAAAAATACTTGAATTTTTTTTCTGATTATCAAAAAAACACTAAACTTTTTTATTGATCTAAAAAAATATATTAACTTTTTTCGATTGTAAAAAAAACCAAAAAAAATAATTTGACGTGCTTGCATCTTGTTGTGTCACATCAGTCATTTTGTTTATTTTGACAATCGTTGAAGAATTAAGTATTTATTTTATCAAACTTAAAAAGTTTAATGTTTATTTAATAAAATAAAAAGTTTAGTATTTTTTTGTCAAAATTTAAAAGCTCAGTGTTTTTTTTGGGATTTTTTTTATATATTATCATAACTTGGTTTTAGGGGTCAAGAATTTATAATAAATTAATATATATATATATATATATATATATATATATATATATAAATAAATGTCAATAAAAAAAGGACAAAAATTGGAAGTCTAGATCCGAAACCCAAGTCCATATCAATTGGGCCTTCTGCATTTTGCAACGAGACGGCCTACAATGACAAATACCATCATATTCAGACAATCATAGTTTAATCCATACTATATCATAATTCTAATGGTATAGTATAATGTATATCATATATACTTACAATCATATACAATATTTATTATTTATTTTATACGTATTTTAAACCACAATAGTTTTTAAAAAAAAAGAGTACATTCCTAATGTATATATTGCCACAACGATGTGTAGTTTTTTTTTATGATTGAGTTTTACCTTGCTTTCTCATAAACAATTATAGGTTATTTCTAAATGACTGTAGTAAAATATATTATAGAGGAAAGAAAGTAGTAGTAGTTTTTTTTTTCCCTAGCAAAACCCACATGTTTGAACTTTAAAAATTATATATAGATTTCGTCGTAATACGTTTGCGTAAAAGCCTCTCAAATAAAAAGGAATATCAAATATAACAAGTTATATATTTGACGTGAAAACCCTAATCCATGAACCGCACGACTCATTTATATATTTACGTATATGTATATATGTGTGTGTATTGTACGCATACAAAAACAAATAGTACACATCTGGTCATCGGATACTTTTTTAATAAAAGTAAGATATATATATATATATATATATATAAATAAATGTCAATAAAAAAAGGACAAAAATTGGAAGTCTAGATCCGAAACCCAAGTCCATATCAATTGGGCCTTCTGCATTTTGCAACGAGACGGCCTACAATGACAAATACCATCATATTCAGACAATCATAGTTTAATCCATACTATATCATAATTCTAATGGTATAGTATAATGTATATCATATATACTTACAATCATATACAATATTTATTATTTATTTTATACGTATTTTAAACCACAATAGTTTTTAAAAAAAAAGAGTACATTCCTAATGTATATATTGCCACAACGATGTGTAGTTTTTTTTTATGATTGAGTTTTACCTTGCTTTCTCATAAACAATTATAGGTTATTTCTAAATGACTGTAGTAAAATATATTATAGAGGAAAGAAAGTAGTAGTAGTTTTTTTTTTCCCTAGCAAAACCCACATGTTTGAACTTTAAAAATTATATATAGATTTCGTCGTAATACGTTTGCGTAAAAGCCTCTCAAATAAAAAGGAATATCAAATATAACAAGTTATATATTTGACGTGAAAACCCTAATCCATGAACCGCACGACTCATTTATATATTTACGTATATGTATATATGTGTGTGTATTGTACGCATACAAAAACAAATAGTACACATCTGGTCATCGGATACTTTTTTAATAAAAGTAAGATATATATATATATATATATATATCACCCTCTCTCTCTCTCTACATTAAGATACTTTGTATATATATATATATATATATATATATTTTTGATGTTAGTGAATAGTGATGCATAATGCGTTGAAGACGAGAAAAAAAATCTTTGCAATTACACCATATAAAATTCCAAGTTAAAAGATGGGGGAAAACATAAACAATTTCTAGATTAAATAAAAAAAGTTATTATAATTGTAAGAAAAAAATAATTTTGTTTATAAGGAAAGGAGAAAACAATTTGGTATGAAGATTTTTTTGGCATTTTGCAGACCAAAAATTCGGCCGGCTTCCTTATGTGTGATGGCCCTCGTCTCCAAACTTTTTTCCTTTTCATGGGATTTATAGATTTTTATAATTAGAGAATTAAGTCGCATCAATATGTTACTTTCTTACATTACATAATGCACATTAATTATATATATTAATAACTATATAATGCAACCTATTTTGCGGTTGACCTCTATTAAAAATACTAAATTTGGGACCAAGCCACGCAATTTCTCTTACAAGTTCCCATCTAATATACTATTTTATCCATTTTTTTATTTGATAATTGAAATATCATTTTGTTCATTAGACGTATAAAACACGTCCGTTCGTTTTTATAACTTGAAAATATTATATAGATATGTTTTATTTATTATATGTTGTTTGATTATTTCTTTGTGATATACCAAAAGAAATATTTACTATGTTTGTAATTATTTGAACAATTCTAATTATATCATTAGAACGAAATTGGAGTTAGACAGTAGATGTCAATATTTTAGGTTATCAATAACGACATTGAGCCAAAAGCCATCAATATTTGAATCTGATTAGTTGAAAATAATGCAAATCAATGATTTTCTATATCATATAATATTGAAAAAATTCAAATTATTGTTTAGGAGGTTTTCATAGGATTAACCATTATATATGTTTTTTTATATATATTTTTTCCCTTTTGCCACAAAATGGAGTTTCGTTTATTGTAAAGAAAGGAAATCATTCATATCATCGATTGAGGGGAGATGTAAATATATAGATGATGATCAAAATAAAATTGAATTGAACTAAATAATACATATTCGTTTGAAATGATTTTTTATTCAAATTAGTTGATATAATAATTAAAAACATCATGAAAATAAAATCATTTTAGAAGATATTTTTTCTAATGAAAGTTGGATCAGTATAAAATTCTCGATGTGTATATGTAGAGATCGAAGAGATTTGTTTTTAAATATTCAGATAAAAAATGAAATGGAAATGAGGAATATACACATATATATATATATATATATATATATATATATGAAAGGTTATTTTTATTCAAAATTAAATAGATGCCGACAAAAGAGGGGTTTATTTTTCAACGAGTTTATGAATCATTATGGCAATCACACAATTGTCCAGAATCCACGTGAAACACACATTGATTTAGATCTTGTGAACTCTATATTTATGATTGGACTGACATTACAACCATCATTGTGATGACACAATGGCAATATACAAATATGTATATATAGTTTATACACATGTACACCCATACATATAAATAGTCTAGAAGTCTATAAATATAAATATGAATACATTTAGATATACCGATTTACATGAAATGAAACATTTTTCCATAATCATTTGGCATGTATGCTATTATGGTAAAGTTTCATGCAGAATGGAAATAGACAAAATTAATTGTTTTTAATATATATAGATTATGGATCGAGTTCGAATGTGATATCTTTTTGAAATCCATAATTTATGGATATCCAATCAAATCATAAAAATATGATTGAATTCGTTAAAAATTATGAAATCTCTTTTAATTATTTATTAATAGCTAAGATTTTATATATCATAGTCTTGAACATCGATTTCTCATCTCATAACCAACAATTTTTTTTTTCTATATCATTGTCTTATTATAATAATTTTTATTTTCCATCGGGTTTTTTTTTCTAAGATTTAAAATTTAATTAAAATTGAGTTTCGAAATTTTAAAATAATGCTTCGCTTGGATTTATATTTTACATTATATGGTTGGAACTTGCAACACAAGGTGTGGATGATTTATCACATAAAAATATCTTTTATGTATTCACATAATTCTCCACTTATAAAAGGAATAATATAGGATATATATCATCATATGCTAGTGCAAGTCTTTATCAAAATCGATGCCCCTAATAATAATTTCACGTTCTTTTATTGTTACCTTTTTTTTTATGCCCGAAGGCGCTTGGCGATATTAGGTCCATATGTATTATTATTTAATTGAATTTTACGAGAAAAAAAAATAATTTTTGTTCTTGCAACTTGCAGCTGCTCTAATGGCCATGAAAGAGCTGATTTGGATCCGTAAGGAATCGCCAACAAGGCATATCCTCTTTGCTAAATTATTATTATTCCCTCACAATTATTCCGATTAAAAGATTCCATTATATACGTGGCCATTATATATATATTATTCTTTATAATCATCATAATATGCAACCACCCACTAATATGATTTTAGAGATGCAGGAGACTATATACTATAAATAAAATCCTACCATGGATTCTTTTATAAGGTACACTCAAGTATTTCAAAATAATATATTTATAAATCCATGTAATAAGTATTTGACCGTTGGAGAATATCGCAAATTTGTGTTTCTTTTAATTCTGATTTCATTTTGCAATAAATGAGTATTGGCATCATTTTTTATTTGAATTTTAAGTTTATATAATATATAAATGTATGTATATGTGTACGTAGGGAGTACTTGCAATAAATTTATGGGAATGCCGTCCGCATCCACGTGGCGGTTGGTTATTAGCTGAGCTGGTCAAATGAAAACCAAACGGAAACGGCTGTAGACTGTAGTAAATAAAAATAATACTTTTGTTTTCGGCGTAGAATTTGTTTTTTTTTGGTTTTAAGAGGTGGTCGTCGGCCTCGTCGCCAGCTGGCAATTTCCAGATGGACGGCTAGGATTTATTGACATATATCAACGATCTGACATGGCACTTGCCATTCCTTCTTCCTTTCTCACCCCCCCCTTTAAAGCCTCAATCATTGCCCCTCCTCCTCCTCCACTCTCTCTCAGAAATTACAAAAAAAAAATATATTCTGGGTTTTCTTCTGTAATGCGGTTTGGGGTTTCTGGGAACTAGGGCTTTCTCATCGGGTACGAAAAGGGGATTCTTTTTTGGGTTTTTCTCGAAGAGTTTACAAGGAAAAAGGGTATTTTTGTGCTGTAATTTTTGGGGGCTAGATTCAAATCCTCGTTTGAAATGGTTTTGTTTTGTGAGATTTTCTTCGGAGAAGAAGGGAATTTAGAAGATGGAGAGTGGGAGAAAGAAAGATAATAATCTGTGATTTTGAAAAGATAAAAAAAAAATTAACTCAGAACGGTAAAAGAAAAGGGTTAATCTTTCCTCTGTTGCAGAAACGGGTGAACAAAAAAAAAAACAAAGATCACAAGCTGAGTTACAGAGGATCGTTTCTTCTTTAGGTAATTCTCTCTCTCCATCATCCCTATTCAATTATACGACGCTTTAAATCGAAATCTAACCATTTTCATCGATCTATCTCTTGTTTTTGCATTCAGGGTCATCAAGAAATCATGTCCGCAACCATAATCACTGACCAAACGCTGCTGGTTTCAACACCAGCACCAGAAATCGTGGTCACAGTGGTTCATCAACCGGTCCAAGCCCAGAAAAATCTCGGTGCGACGCAAGCCGATGAACCGGAACCGGTTACATGCGATTGCTGCGGATTGACCGAGGAGTGCACACAATCGTACATCGACACCGTACGTGAACGTTACATGGGCAAATGGATCTGTGGACTTTGTGCAGAAGCAGTGAAGTACGAGGTCATAAGAACAGAGAGGCTCATAACTACAGAGGAAGCCATGGCTAGGCACATGAACATGTGCAACAAGTTCAAATCTTCCAGCCCTCCGCCGGATCCGACTATTCATTTGATCTCTGCAATGAGACAGATCTTGAGAAGGACTTTGGATTCTCCGAGGATGCTTCGATCGATGCCGAGTAGTCCGTCTAAGGATGACAAGAACGAAGGTTCGGCTGTTTTGTCTAGGTCCGGTAGCTGTTTTGCCACTTTGACAAGCTCGTGATGGAGGATAGAAAACCGGTTCCGGTTTATATTGGTTGTGGCTCGGTTTAGGGTGGACCGGGTTCTGCAACGGGGGGTTTAGGGATGTGGATGATGCTGTACTTGTGAAGAATTTTGGGGAATTGAAATGTTATTATAAAGCAAGAAATTTTCTGTTTATGTTCTTGAGAATTTTGGTGCTTTCTTCTGACTTTCTTCTTCCCCGTTCTTTCCAAAGTCGGCAATCTATAACTTTGGAATAATTTTTCGTATTTCGATTTTTTTTTAAATGATTTAAGCGACAAATTGTCGAAAAATTAAATGATTTTTTACGATATAAAAAGTTGAACTTTTTAAGGTGGGGGTCAAGTGACTTAACATACGACAAAACTTGATTCAAGCTTGTCCTTACTTTTTTTTCTTTCTAAATATATATTTGTTATAAGTTATATAATGAGTAGGTCCAAATACAGTAAAAATAAGTATTAATATGAGCTATAAAATATTTAATATTATATTCTCATAATACATGGAAGAAATGGGCAATGATTTCAGTGTTCGCAAACCCTAAATTAATATATCTATCTAGTATCTTCAACTATATTATGGTAAGTCTAAGAACATAAACATTTTATCTTTCTGTCAGTAGTTCAGTTTTATACACTAACAAAAAGAATAATAGAATATTCTCTTTCAGATTAATTAATTCCAAAATAAAAGAACATTTTTATTATTATTATTTGATTCTGCGAAGAACAAATCGACTCAACAGGAATATTTAAGACTTCTTTCTTAGCTGTTGGATTAATTTAGAATCTTACCGATAAAAGGAACATGAGAGTTGGGCCATGCTTTTAATTATGGTTTTTCTCTTTAGAAATAAGAAAGTGAATATATATATATATATATATAGAGTATATTGTTATCACAATTCACAACTACAAATAGATAGATGGTCTTTTTGAACATTCGTTAAGCCACCAAGCAACTGATTATTTTTTTACCAAATGAAAAAAAAAACCCATAACTCGTTAGATGAATATAATATAAATTAGTTTTGTGACAAAATTTCATTTACAAAGTGGTACCGTGACCAGGTTTATATGATATTTTTATGGGATTTTGTCGAAAGTCATCATAAAGGTATATATATATAGACAGAATATGATTTTTATTTTTCCGCCAACATATAAAACAAAACTAAATATATATCCCATATATATATATATATGATTATACCAATGTGCTATCTTCATCAAATGTACAAACCCTAACATGAAAAAGATAACCAAACCAAACTTGTAGGAGTGAATTAGGGCATCATATGCCAAATCGATTTTAAGACGAGACAAGTTTTGTTAATGTTTTTTCTTGAACCCTAAGTTTCGTTTTCCTTGTTGCTGCTGAATACATGCATATGTTACGTATCGAGTCCACCATTGGGACCCACTCCTTCTCCTCATCTCTTTTCATTCATTCGTTCATTATCTTTTTAATTTTTTTTATTCTTTGTTTTTTTTCCGAGATAATCTTCATGCCACGATCCATATTATACACACATACATATATACGTATATACCTATGCATAATTTTTGTAGTTATGTTTTTTTGGTGAGGTACCAAGAATTCAACTTTCTCCGTGAATACAGTTGTGATATAAATGTATTCCAACAAGTTAATAGCAAACTATCATGTTTATTTTTGTACGTGCGTATGTATGTAGGGGAAAACTCTAGTTGAGTTGGTAATGAGGATGGTCAACATACCGAGAGGTTGGGGGTTCGACTCCTTGTCCGCTCATCTATCGTCTGTCAGTTACGACTAATTTACCTCCCACGCGTGTGTTGCAGGTTCGTGTGGGCTTGAGTTTACTTGGTCAGCGCGCCCGAAATGTAACAGTTGGGATTCTCAATGTATAAAAAAAATGTATGTATGTGTGTACGTATCATGTCGTGAAGACAATTTAATTTAATTAACTTCGATAATAACGACAAAAGAATACTACCAATCATCATAGACTTTGCTCCCATATTATAGGGTTTATATATATATATGCAACCTAATCCTTTATTAGCCTACGTAGTTAGTAAAACTAATATCACTTCAAAACATTTAAAAGAAAACAAAATTTAAATACTCTCCACGTATATATATATATATATATATATATATTGTAGCATTTTTGTCTCCTTGTAATATAATTTGCACGTTATTTAGTTAAAAGGTCGCCGAAGAGGATTTGGTGCTCCGTCTTCATCCCGTTGTCCGATTTCCATGTGTCCTTTCATTGAGTGGTCAATTCTTATTTCTTAATTATGTGTGGAAAATTCCTAGTGGGATGACCAAAAGCATGCATGGGCCAATTAGATTTCCATACAACAAAACAAAATAAAATTCTGCAATATATATATAGAGAAAATACTTTAAAGTTTTTTTATACATTTTTTGGAGTTTTTAAGTTATTTCATAATATTTTTGGATCTGTCAAACTATTGTCGAATAAAGGAAAAAAAGAATACGATATTATTACATTATTTAAAGAATTACACCATGAACATTTATTTTAAAGTACACAATTTTTTTGGGGAAAATAGCAAAAAAATACACCAATTTGGTTAAAACTGACATATAAATACATCAATTTGTAAACTTGCCGATTAATACATCACATTGCAGTTTTTTGGCAATTTCCAACAAAGACGCTGACGCCGTTATGGGTTTAAATTTTTCCGTCAGAAAACGATTACGTGGATATATGAATTTTGACACGTAAACTCCACGTCAGAAATGCAGTAAATGGTAACCGAAAAATAAGACCCGGTTTAAATAACAACCAAACCGAGTATTAACCAAATTCCACTTAAAAGGAGGTGTGTTTTATTTCCTCTCTCCAGCATCGTTCGAAGAAAGAGAGAGAGGGGAGAGAGAGGGGGAGAGAGACATACGCTTTGATTTTCTTTTCTTGGATCTTTTGCTTCGATATTCAAGTGAAGAGGTAAGTAAGATCTTTGATTTGGTTTTGTTTTTGTATTTGAATAATTGTGCTCAGGATTTGAAGAAAAAACCCTAAAATACAGAAAGTTAGGGTTTTCACAGATGGTTTGTTTTGTTGGGCTGTTCGTTGAATTTATTCATGTAATTGAAGGTTGTTTCAGTTGGGTTAATAGGTAATGACTAATTTTCTAGTTTTTAAGGTCTAAGTTGTTGACGAATGTTACAGATATGAGTTTGTCACAATCAAATTCAAGTTCAAGATCAGTTGGGAGAAGAGGGGAAACATATCGATGTAGAGGTGTACCGAAGATGTGTGATTGTGGAAGCTCTGTTACAATATATACATCCAGAACTGACATTAACCCAGGGAGGGTTTTCTTTCGATGTTCTTCTCGGGAGGTTAAGTAGTTCAACGTTGTGTTTGACAATTTTCGTTTTGATTTTTTAATGAGTTAAAGTGATAGTGTATATGTTGTGTATTAGGCTAACTGTCCGCATTTGTTCAAATGGGTGGATGAGGCGTTGGTCGAGGAGATTGAAGATTGTCGGGAGGAGCAAAAAAAACTCAACGTTGAAATGAGGAAAAAAGACAAAGCTACTATGGAACAGATGGGAAACAAAGAAGATTATGGAGAGGAGTTACGAAAGCTTAAAGCTAAGATGCAGAAACTAAAGTTTGAGGTAGAAGAGTTAAAATGTTTCAAACACAATTTGTTTGTAATTCTCGTAGTTATAATTTTGGCAATCATGTATTACTATGGTTTACTACTAGTTTGATGTATTTTGTAGCAGTGGGGTAATGTTGTTGTGTTTGGGAGAAGACAAATGTATTTTGAGTGAATGAGATAATTGTGTCAAGGGGAGAAAACAATTGCGTATGTATGGAATATTTGATAAGACCATTTTGTATGAGAAAATCTTTTGATATGTTTGGACAAATAATGGTTTGATATGTTTGGACAAATAATGGTGAAAGAATTGTTGCTGCTGGAAAATATATATTGCACAAAAAACACATACAGTTTACAGCGACCATTTGCCGAAAACATGCAAAAGGAATCTGATTTGACCATAAAACAGACAAAAGATGATGTTTGGGTACATTATAAAAGGATCTGATGTCAGATACATTACAAACAGGAAAATGATTTAACCAAAATAGTCAAAAGATGTCCAATACGTCATGCATCCGGTTGGCTGCGAGATGTCGAGGGTCCTTGGACCTGCCTCGGAGCTTGGAATGGACGACCGGTATGCGGAGATATGAAGTTGGCAGGTCCAGTGGCAAATTGATTGGGCCGACTCATTTCAAGAGTCAAATGTCGACGTCGCCGGCGAATACAAGCCGCTTGAGAAGTCTGGCTGGATTGTGTTGTGATGGTAGTACCTACAATCATTGATATGTCAAGAAATGGACATGTTAGAAATGGCAGAATATAAATTTACCTTGAACTGAAGTGGAACTTGAAGCCATTTGTGGTTGCTGTTGAGATTGCTCAGACGATTGTGTTTGAGGATGTTTCCGCGGTCGACCACGTCGTCTCGTTTGTCGTGGCATGTGTAATGGCTCATTTTTACAGCCCTTCGCATTGTGTCCGGTCTGTTTACACCGACTACATGTAAACACCCGCCCATGTCTCGTCATCTTTCCAGGCCTCGTTGGAGATTCATGAGGGTCTTTCCGACGGTGAAATTTCTTTGGTCGACCACGCTGCTTTCTGTCCATTTTCTCTGCCTCACGACGTGCCTTAAAGCATTTACTCAACGGAACTTTCAACTTCCATTTTCGTTTTATCACGTATTGAATATCTGCTGCAGAAAATGAAGGCATTCTCCTGATGATATCTGAGAACAACTTTGCAATATGTCTTCGAGTTAACATGGAAGCTACTCCTGTTGGTTGGTGATTATGCTCAGCAGTGAACACTTTTACCATCCATTTATTCAATGGTTTCTCTATTGAGCAATACACTCTCCAACCACAACCTTTATGCGAACAAACCGCTGCATACTTATCTTGTTCCCATCTAGACAATCTCACATTGAACTGTGTATCTAAAACATATTGAAACAAGGCATCCTTGAACTCTTCTCCGGAATCGAATATATTACCCAGCAAAAGTAACTCATCACATTTCCTTAGTACTCTTGAAGTTGGGACCTTTCTTCTTGGACGTTCGAATTCCTCCCACTCTTCATCTGTATGCAGCGGAGTCCTTGGGCACACATTCTCGTTATCAATAAACTCATCATCACTAACATACTCTTGACAATTTCTGGCATATTCCTTCAACTCAATCTCTCTAAATATTGCCGCAATACTCTCCTCATCAAGCTTGGAACTTGCACCACCATCCACATCCACATCCACATCCATATCAGACTCAACATCATCTCCACCTCCTACATCACCTACACCTCCTACATCAGGTTCAACGTCATTACCGTCAATATTGCCATCACAATCATCACCACCATGTTCGACCCCAACATGGCAGTGTCCATCACCTTCATCGACATCAACATTACCACTAGCTTCAACCCTAGCATCGGCATCAGCATTACCTGCATCTTCTGCACCAACACCCATGTCTCTTTCTTTCTGCAAATCAACAGCTTCACTAAATTCAAGCCTCCTAACACATCCTACCTCTTCAGTTTCCTTATTCTTCTTTAATGTACTTGGAGACCCTGGTGTTGGTATTGATATCTCGTGATCAATATAAATGTCCAACTCTCTTTCCTTACTAGCTAAATCATACATTTCTCGCATGCCTAAATCAACCTCCTCATATATGACTTTCTTCTCATCAAGACTTTGATGTGGTAATTTATACCACATCTCAACTATTGGAGCATCAAATTTTCTAGACCGCACAAACTCCTCGAAAAAAAACCAACACAAATAGTCTGGATCCATCTCTATCCCTTTCTCCACAAATCCACCATCATAAGACCACTTCCCATCAATGAACGTCATAAACCCACCCATATGAAAATTCAACTTCACTTTACTGTAAAAAATGAGAAAATAATATAACACCATCATCAAGCAAAAACCACAATTTACCTTAATCTAATCGACATTTAAATGAAACTTACCCCATGTTGATATACTCTCGACAACAATTCCAACCACTGAAGATTCCAATTTCAATTCTGCAACAAAACACAAATCAATTAGCTAATAAACACTTAGAACCCCTATTAATTCCCGTTTTAGGAACTAAACCCTTAAAACTTTCGGTTCGATTGCACTCACAACCCGAAGAACGACAGAACCGAATCTCGTTCATTGACGGACATTACACACAACCCATAAATCTCTTACCTTCCAGCTCAGACGAAATGAACTTCCGAAGTACTTCCGATGAAATCTACGGCAAAATCCAACGAAATCCACAGCGAAACAGACTTTAGAAGCAGCTCCGACAATGAAACCCTAATCGCGATTTCACCCTCTCTCGATTTCCTCTCCGACGAAATGGAAGGTCCTTATCAGCCCACCGAAATCGACGGTGAAACACCTCCGACAAAGTCGACGGTGAAGCCCCTCCGACGGTGAAACCCTAATCGCGATTTCACCGCCCTCTCTCGATTTCCTCTCTCGATTTCACCGTGTCTCGATATTTTACTTTTTCACGTGTTGAAATATCACATCTACAGTAAAAGAAAAGGTTTCGGTTTTGTTAGGTTAAATGTTCCAAACCGCGTGAATTTATTTCGGTTTAAATTGATAAACCGAGTTCTGATGTGGCAATATAATCTGATCTGGTGTCTGCGTGGCAGATAGAGACAATCCAGGTCAGCAATTTTTAACGACAAACATTACCGTCAGCGTTTTTGTTGGAAATTGCCAAAAAACTGCAATGTGATGTATTAATCGGCAAGTTTACAAATTGATGTATTTATGTGTCAGTTTTAACCAAATTGGTGTATTTTTTTGCTATTTTCCCAATTTTTTTGTGGTGGCTAAAAATTTCAATTCGGATTCGGTATTGTACAAATTCGAATATCGGAACTGTGAAACTCTTCAATAAAGTTTTATTAATCGAGTTTACTTCGGATTGTTTGGTTAAAATCAAAATCAAAATTATTATTCCCATTATGATATTGTGCTGAATTAAAACTGTAAAAACAAAAATTATTATATCTATCATATCGTGCATTATTATATTCGAATATAGCATTTGATTTTTACCAAACACGACAGAAATCTTTGTAGCAAAAACCCATCTTGGCTCTAAAGGAGATATGGTGTTTAAAATAAAATGATTTTTACAAAATGTATAATTCAATTGATTGGCTCTATAAACTCGTGATATTAATTGTAATTTAGGGATGTAAAAAACAGGTTGGTCCGGTCCAATTCAATCCGGTCTGACTTGGTACAAACTCAAGCCCTCCTGTCTCATGGGCCTAATAACCTTATAAATGGGCTTAAATTTTTTTTTAAAAATTAACATTTAATGCAAAAGGACAAAAAAGAGAAAATCACGGGGTAAAATAGGATAATAAGCATATAATAGCGTGGATGGATAGTCTCTGACTCTCTGTTTTAATTTTTGTTTTTGAGTTTTTTTTTGTCAAATTGTTTTTTAGTTTTTAGTCTTTGAATTTTGGTTTTTGTAAATTTTTAAAAAATAGAGTTTTTAAGTTTTTAAGAAAACTGATTTTATAAAAACTTATTATCAATTTTCTGATTTTTGGATTCTAAATACCAAAAACATCTTTCATTCAAGGTCATAATTTTGGTTGAATTTTTTTTGAAAATTACAAAAAAGTATACATGTTGGGATATGTGATCCTCTCCTTCTGTCAGAGGATTCGTCGGAGCCATTTTTTTTAATTATTTACAGATACAATCTTCGCAGTCGTCAATCGTCCCACCGTGACTATGTCACGCATTATCGGAAGACCGTTAAATTTAACGGCGTCCGTCCGACGGCGTCTTGCTCCGTTTTCTCTATTCTCCGGAAGTTCTGGCTCCGACGACTCGGTTCCGACGCGTTGCGACGAGTTGACTCGGGTGCCGAGTCTGGTCGAGGGATGCGATTACAAGCACTGGCTCGTCGTTATGGAGGTTCCCAAGGGATACCCACCTCGGAACGACATCGTCGGAGGCTATGTCAAAACCCTAGCCATGGCTTTGGGAAGGTAATTGATGAAACTATTCCCTTTAGTAGTTTCGTGATTCCTTTTGTCTGTAAGGGTTCTCGCTGTGTAGAGTTTCACTAGCTATAGCAATGGTAAAGCTCCGATTTTTTTTTTGAAAACTCAAAGCTAAAAGTTGAAGCCTTGGTGTGAAACTCGAACATTCTGTTGATCTGAATAATATATGATCGATGTTGCCTGCTGCTTTTGATGTTTGCAGTGAAGAAAAGGCAAAGAAATCAATATATTCTGTCTCAACTAAGTACTACTATGCATTTGGATGCCGGGTCACTGAACTTATGACTTACAAGATACAATGTACTGATGTAGTTCCTTCAAGTTTCAATTTTTCTTGGTTGGAGTTTTTCATCGTGGCAAAGTTGTTAGTGTGGCTTTTGTTTGATTGCAGCTCTGCCCGACGTCAAATGGGTTCTTCCAGATTCATTCATAGATGGCAAAAACGGATATGGAGGTTCGTTTTGTTTGTATGATTCGCTGAACACATCGATTTTAGCTGCATTGAATTGTTTCTTCATCAAACCCTTGCCTGTCTTCTCTGTTCTGTGTTGCTCGATATTCATACCTTGATTCGGTGTTCTGTTTTTACAGTATGAATGATAAGCTCTACCATTTTAGTTTAAGTTGGAAACATGTTACCTAATGAATCAATTTTGAATTTTACATAGGTGGGTTCATGGTCAATTATGGATTCGGCAGCGAGTTGTATGCATTGCATATGGCATTCGTTCTCCAGATTTTTCAATTTTGCAACAACGACTCTATTTTGTTCAATGGAGTCAAGTTTTGGTTCTGTGGTTTTAACTTTTAACAATTGCAAGGATGAAAATTCTTTGCCTATCACTTGCTCATTCTGGCAGAAGCTAAGTCGTGTTAGTTCCACCTTCTTTGTGGGTTTCTTGGGTAAAAGTGAACTCAGTAGATGTAGTTTCATTTTATTGAAACCTTAGTATGTACCCTTTACTCACGTATAGCCTGTCTAGTGCAGGAGAACCTTTCATTGATGGGGAGGTAGTCCCATATGATGAGAAGTACCATGCAGACTGGCTTCGAGAACATACTGATGATAGTGCTAAAGACAGAGTAGTTGTAAAGAAGCCTAGGAGGAAAAGGAAGAAGTCGATAAACTGAAGATATTTGGAAAAATTGTGGTTATTGGAAGAGGCCTGTCAAATCAGTACGATGTTACTCAAGCCAGGGGGAATCATAGTAGAAAATGGAAGAAGTAGAACTCAATCCAACGGGTGTTGTTTAGTAGATTTTAGATTATGGAAGAGTTAAGCTACTCGAGCTTCTCGAGTAGCTTAGGAGGAATATCCAGCTTCAATCTAAATCTGGTCTTTTTTTTTTTCCTGTTCTTCCAATGTTCCATTCTGTGCTATTTTACAAGTAGAATTATGTCATCTAAGTTGAAGTTTTCTGCTTCTGTGAATAAACTAATGATCTCACTGAAGAAAGAGATAGCTCCAGGAGGAATGGTTGCTTCTTGTTTAACTTTGTCTTGTCAATCAGGACCATGTAAACAAGGGGGATACATTTTCCAACACGTCTGCAAATGGGGTTTGGTGGGGATTCATTTGTCTTCCTTCAGGACCAAGGTATGTGATCTGTCTTCATTGCAAACCTTTTTTGTCTTGACTTGGAATTTGTTGCGTATTCACTCAGATTCTTCAACATTGACTAGATAATATCTAACATATATTTACCTGTTATGAAATACTGAAATTCTTGGATGGTGAAACTGCAGTCAATTTAGATGTTGATGTTAGAATCTTCTGGTGAATGAATCCAGTAAATATGTCCCTTTCGAAAACACATTCGTTGCATTCAGATTTAACATCTGTGGTTACAAATCTTGAAATTGACTGCCAAATTTCTATGTAGCCCACTTCCTAAGCTACTTCTCTGTTTCGAGATTGAAAGTCGTTTGTGACTTGACATTTTTGTATTACATGAAAATCCTATAGAACTTTCCTGTATCTAACATGACTTCTTGTATTGTTTCCTAACATCTAAGCCTGTTGGATACACAAACAAACCATAAACAAAACAATAAATGAATCTACTTGATCGGGGAGTACAAACTGGTTCCTAGGCTCTTGTACAGAGCAGTGTCTGAATATACGGCACGAGACCTCATTGCCTTGTTCCTACGTCTGTTCTTCCGACCTCTTCTATGTCGTTGGCAAATATTTGCTTTCTTTTCCTCCTTGTTTTCTTCCCCATTATTCCCGGCTTTCACCTCGTCCCCACATTTAGTGTCATGCCCCTCCTTTGCACGTTCCACTGGAACAATATACACAAATGGCCCGTTTTGGATGTCTTTGAGGTCAAGGAGAGGCTCCAGGGTCTTGACCACGGTCTTCATCGTGGGTCGTGACTTGGGGTTGTGGTTGAGGCACTGATATGCCAAAGCAGCTGCCTTTCTCACCCCTTCCACCGAGTAACGCCCTTCAAGCCCTGGGTCTATTATCCCTTCGAGCTTGGTGTGATCTTTTAACATGGGTCTCGCCCATTCCACTAGATTCCTCCCTCTTTGTGACCGATACTTTTCCACCGCATTTCTTCCTGTTAACAGTTCTAACAGCACGACCCCGAAACTGAACACATCACTCATTGTTGTCAAGTGACCTGAAAATGAATGGATGAACCAACATATGAGTTGTGGTCTTGGAAAATTTTAGCTTTGTGTTTTTTCATTGTAAAGTACTTAATAGGCTTTCTTGTCAGAGTTTTGCTACTGGTTATGTTCTTTACCTGTTGATATGTATTCTGGAGCTGCGTATCCCTCTGTACCCATGACCCTTGTTACATTTGGTTCTCCTCCCTCTGATCCATCGGTTGCTAGTCCGAAATCAGAGAGCTTAGACCTAAAGTCCTGAAAGTTTTTCAAAGGAAAGAAACTAGTTATTGGCATGAGCATAAACTAAATACAGAATAAAAATGTGATATGAATATACGAGCATGTGAATTTACCGAGGTTAAGAGTATGTTGGAAGGCTTAAAATCTCTGTAAATGACAGGGCTTTGTTCTTCATGAAGGAAGGCAAGGCCTTTTGCTGCACCCAACAGAATCTTCATTCTGGTTAACCAAGGCAGAGTTCCTGAATATCCTGCATTGCGAGAACAGTACTCGTATTAGTGAATCATCCCCATTTCCCTTTTCATCTAATGTCAAGTGTAGATTCAATAGCGGTTTATAAGCTACTAACTTTGAAATAAATGGTCCTCCAGGTTGCCTCGTTCCATATATTCGTAAACTAGAAGCCTGTGTTCATCCTCACAGCAGTATCCGATCAAGTTCACCAGATGGGGATGCTTCAATTGACCCAAGATGATAACTTCCGCCTGCAGAATGTCCAAAAAGGGCAGAAAAAGATCTTTTTGTCAGTACAAACACGTTTTCTTACGAACAAAATCAGGTATAACATCGGGAATGTGATGAGATGAATCTGAAGGAGGAGAGATCATCATTACCAGCCACTCTCTATGGCCTTGTCCACCATCTGGTTTCAAAGCCTTAACAGCAACAGGCTGAGCCTTCAAGCCGGTCCTGAGGCTATCATCGACGAAACCTTTGTACACTTCCCCGAACCCACCTTCCCCGAGGTAATTAGACTTTGAGAAGCTCTGTGTGATGGTCTCGAGTTCCTTGTAGGTGAAAATGTGAAGGTCTATGAGGAAAGAAGACGACAAGTCGCTGAGAGAGATAGACGAGTTGCTGACATCAGAGACTGCTATTCGGCTTCGAAGTGAATCTTGTTTCGAATACAGAAGCCTTTCCTTTGATGGGTTGTTGTTGTTGTTGTTCTTGATGCAGTTTATGGGAAGACATGCTTTCCAACAAAACCTCTTGAAGGACATTGGTTTTTGTTTCGAGTGTTCTTTGGATGTTGTGTTTCTTTCAGAGCCTTTGCCCCTCAACCTGGTTCAAGATTTCGGTTTATATAGACAGCTTTGAAGCCTCTCTGCAAAGGTTAAGGTTGTTTCTGTCTAATGGGAAGAGAGAGAGAGAGAGAGAGAGAGAGAGAGAGAGAGAGAGAGAGAGAGTTGAAGACTAAACAAAAGCAAAGTCTGTGGTCTTAAAGGCCAACCAAGGACCAATTGCTCCGTGGTATTATGAGATAAATTGCAGATATATTTTTATGCAAATCTTTGGTTGGTTATACTTTGTATATATTTAATTAAAGAACAGTTTGATAACAGACAGCTAAAATGTGTATCAAATCAATTTAATATATGCCACAAGCTTTGTTAAATTTAGAAGCTACTTGGACTGCCCCAAACCATGACTTTGTGTTTTGACATGTATGTTTAAATATCATATTCATCTAGAAGAATGGCCCTATCACCAAGTGTTGCCACATTTTTTTTTCTTTAATAAATAATTTGGGATTATTGTTATTATTATTATTATTATTACTATTATTATTATTATTATTTTCCTCTTAGTGGATTTAGAATCTATCAACACCTCTCTGGCCACCATTGACTTGGAAGAATTCACATCCTTTGTTTTTCTCCAAGCAAGAAAAGATTAGGCAGAGTTGTTAGCTTCAAACCCAATATTAAAATATGTTTTTTTAATAAACCATGTCGATGTTTTTCCTTAATCTAATCCTTAACTGTACAATATGACACTAACTATTTTTGACCAATTATTTATTTATATATATATATATAGTGAAAAATTACTTTACGCCAAAAATAATATTAACACTACTATATATATGGGAGTACAAACTGGTTCCTAGGCTCTTGTACAGAGCAGTGTCTGAATATACGGCACGAGACCTCATTGCCTTGTTCCTACGTCTGTTCTTCCGACCTCTATGATTCCAATGATAATAATTATTGATATATATAGGAATAAACAACATGAATAATAATACTACTACTTTTCATCATTTTATATAAAATTGATTTAGATATTAAAATTAAATTTACGTTCTGATATTAGGATCCGTAAATATTCAAATGTGTAACACTTTCATGAAATTAGTGTATTCAATAAAGTCGTAATACTTTTCGTCTATCAACTTTTTACTTCAAAACAAGAGGTCGTTTTTCTTAAATGTTTTGGGATAAAAAAAAATAATAAATTGAAACTATATTTTCTTTGTCGAGCAGTGTATAAATATATGAAAAGTGTATAATGATAAACAACTATATACATATGAAAGGAGTATAATGATAACAATGTCGATGACACGGTTCAAATATTTCCTGAAATACGTAGAACTTTATTATTTCACATTTGTTGAGTGACCAATTATTTAAATAATTCCATATTATCCATGTACACCCGCATGAAATGTCTTAATACCTTATGCATATCGGAATTCTCTATTTTGGATAATACAATTTTATATTTCCGACAATAGGTATTTTTGTAATTAATCAAATATAAATCAATTCTCCTCGCATACATGTAGATAGGAAGTTAGATGTTATGTATAAATTAATCTCTAAAAACAATTAAAAATGATTTAATATGAAAATATAGTATTTTAAATTTTGTGAATATTTCGATTTCCTTTATTTTTAACTTTGTTTTTTTTAAATACTCTTTCACTATCAATTCCAATTTAGTTTTTATTAAGCAACCTATTTATTTTTATTCAGTATTTTATTCTCATTCCGTCCGATTAAATCCGAGTTTGTTTATTTTAGTTTTAAAAGAGTTATGTAAAATCAGTTTTTATATCAAATTTAATTGAGATGGCGCAATTTGATTTCATATAACAAAAACAAATTAGTCATCTTAATTAATGTATTACGTTGTAGATCAAATTAAAATAACCCTAAGCATCTTTTCTCATAAGGACCAAATACCGTTGGTAAATTTCAATTAGATATATTTTCTGATATTTTAAAATAATTTGAAAGTGATAGAGCAACAACTTAGTTGTAACATTTTTTTTTTTTGAAATTCTATCGAAGGAACCTTCTTTGTTTTTTTCTTGCTTATGTCATCTTCTTCTTGTAAACCGTCTCCATTTGATGGATTCAAACTTTAAAACCAACTGTACTATAAAATTATATGAATATATATATATATATATATATATATATATATATATATATATATATTAATTTTTTTAGACGAGTAAAAAATATCAAGGAGATCCTAATCTACACGATTGGAATTATAAATAGACAAGCCATATATAATTTTGCCTAATTAATTGCTTTGCATTTCTATATTAATAATATAGATTTACCAAAAAAAAACGACTAATTAAAATTTTTATAAATTGAACACCTGTTCAACCAAAATCTGTAAACATTCTTGATTGAGAGTTATATGCTTTTAAAAATAATTATATAAATATCGAGTTAGAGAAATGTGTATTTTTATACTATAAAAATTAAACAGAGAAGTGAATTTCATGTTGAGTAAATCTGAGTTATTATTAGGTTTGGATTTGGACTGTTCTAAATTAAAATATAGTGACACATTTGGCACGTGAAACCCAAAATCCCACAAAACTTGTAAAAATGAAAAAACACAGTTTAGTCAAATTTGTTAATTGATATTATAACAACTAAAGTATTCTATTGTCAAATTATAACCACCAAATGTTCATGGAAAAGTATATACGTGGGTAAATGAAATTTATTCAAAACAATATCATAACCAAAGTTCTCCCGAAATCAAATCCAAGAAAGAGGTGTTTATACATGAACCCTAATCTTGAAAAGGAAAACATTAAAATGTAATTATGTCCAGGTGGTTCACATTAATAATTACACTAGTATAATCTATATATTATATGTATGTAATATGTATAGTGATCAGAAGCGTTTGGATTTCAATAAGTTCCAAAAGGTGAAAAAAAAAGAATGATTTTGTATATTTAAATTTTAATTAATCGGCCGATGGCTTTGACGTTGGTCCGTTTCATATTATTTATTAGAAAGATATAGCACGTTTATTTAATTTTTTTGATACACATGCATATCATATCATCAATAAAAATAAAATATTATCGACGGTCCCATTGTGTTTACGCCGACTGTTTTTATACTTCGAACGATTGCGTGTACATGCATTAAGACAGTGGCTAGTTTCATGTGGTATATAGATTATTAAATTACATAAAAGATGTAATATGAATTTAAGCAGTAAATGGTAAAACTGAAAACACTATGTTTTAAGTTAGTAAATAGTGATGAACAACCATTTTTACCACAATTTCCTAAATTGAAATAATTAAGATAATTGATTTGAAACTACTAAGTGAAATTAAACCACGAATCAATAGCTAATCAAAACTTGTACGACCAAAAAAATACATTAATACGGTAAGAAACTTTTCTTTACATATTTTTCACAATCATATAATCATGTGATATTCTTATATTATTTTAAAATGGAAAATAACCAATCACACATAAAAAAAACCTACCAAACATTCCAAGAACCCTGACAAAAATAAAGATGCAGAGTTTCTAATATAAACATAACTCAATATCTATAAAAAAAATCAAGAAAAAGTTCGGACAAAATCTTGGTCTCTCCTCTTGTTCGCTAGTAACTACTCTTCATGAACGAAAGAGAACAAGAAAAAAAAACATTTCAGACCTTTCGACAAAAAAAAAACTGCTTGGCTGCAATCAAAGTTTGAGAGGTGAAGAGACTATGGATTTCAGGCATGGAGATGGCCAAGAACCCTAGAAAGAACCCTGATTTTGAATGTGCACTGGTCAAATATACAGCTGCAAGGATCAAAGGATAGAGAGATTTTAACAAACTATATGAAAGACGCATCGGTGGAAACGAACAGATGCCGTCGACGGATATTAGAAAGGTTGATGGAAGAATGTACCTTGGTGCCTCTGAAGAAGAAATACACAAAAAAACGGTATCTACACTTGGAAAAATCTGCAACAAAGGGGCAAGCAACACTACCATGATTCCTTCTTTCCTTTCCTTTTCCCTTATAACAAGAAACTGGAAAGAGAAAGCCTCTTGAATACCTCAGATGACACTCCTATGTATGTATCAGTATATATTTCGGATGCTATCTGAAAACGGTACTTCCGTTTTGTTGAAGACGTAGGTTTTCTATAAGGGACTGGTAGAACGATTTCAGGGTCTTTACATCGCTGCCCTGAAAAAACCCGACAAGAAAAAAAGCAGCACGGAGAAAGTTTTAAGCATTATGGATCCTTCCAATGCCATTCACAAAGCACGAGACATTACTAATCTAATGATTATTAGTTTCAGAGAGCAATCTTATGATACCTGCAATTTTTGGCAATACTGTTCTACTAAATCATGTGGACAGTATGCTGATGGAAGGCTTTTAGCTGTAAGATGCATGAGAAATGCATTACCAAATTTCTCATACATCACCTTCTGAGCTGTGACGATTTCTCCGAGCAAAATGTGCTGTGTGCCATGAAAGCAATGGATATTCACAACCGAATGTGTAGCAACAAAATATGAAAGAGTTTATCCATAAGAATCTTGAATCTCAAACCACGATGAGAAGCAATGAAACAGCAAAGAGATTAAGGGAAAG